CCTTACTTTTGCCTTATTACCTGATTCGAGAACTTAACATATAGGCACGATTCAACTACCACCATAGTATTATATTGGTATGTATTTGAAAAACTTCTATTACCCAGATGTTTAACTCAGTGCCTTGCTCACTGGTAATAGCCTATCAGGCGGAGAATCTTCCAGTTAAGAAATTTATTGACATCAGGTAGGTTACAGAAAACTGATGTTATAGTTTTGAGATAGATACATCTCTGTTCAAAGAAATGGAGAAAAACTGTCAAGGTGTCTTTTATGACTGTTTATTTCATATTTTTATAAGGTACTAAAGGAGTTTTTATTTTGAAGCAAATAGGTCATTTTTTTATCTAGGAGAAATTTAGTAATTTCCCACCATAGTAGGTATACTTTATTTTAAGCAATCCCAAACAGTTAAAAATAAGTTTTTACTAAAAATAAATTAGGATAAATGCACTTAGACTAATTATTGTTCACAGAAATAATAATCACATTGGAATGATAAATGAGAGCATAGGACATGGCAAAATCTATTCTGTGATCATGAGGGGAACCTCTCCTTGTAATGTTTTATACATGGTGGAACTCTTAGAGGTAGTAAATAGTGGTACATAAAAGATCCTCAGTAATTGCTCCTATATTTCTAATTCTAGGAGAAATATTCGCCCAATTAGGTAAAAGTCATGAGAGTTGTAGTTCTTATTTCAACAGAAGAAATACAGCATTATAAAATTTTACAAGATTAGTTTCTTATTGCTGAAGAAATAGTGCAAATATGAAATAGAAATAGTACAAATATGAGAACAGTGTCTTTTTGTTTTAGCATTTAATCTGGATTATTTGAATTCTGGAGTCCTTTATACACTTTACAGCTATATCTTTGTGTCATGTAGTTGTTATTCTTCTGCCTTGCAGGAGCTGAAAATAATGTTGACTGGATATGTCTTGTCTGGTATTAAAAATGATTAATGTGAGCTTGAGATCTAAGCTGCCTAAAAGGTTATATAGAACTTTCAGGCACATTCTGATAGAGTGCTAGATGGTAAGAGAGAAAATGTCATTGATATGCTCCTGGACAAATAGTCTGGAATTGTTTATTTTGACATTTTTCATAATTAAAAGCAAAATATTGTTTTTGGGATCCATAGAAAACATATGTTAGAAATTGCACATAAAAGGTTAGAGTTGAGGTTTTGAGTTTATAGGCTTAAAATGTGAAACTCTTTTCTATAATACGACACAATTAATAGTCAGCTTCCTCTTTCTAACCAGTTAAGGAAAGGATATCCTGCATTTCAGTTCTTTGCAAAGCAGCGGGGAGCTGATTCAAATTAACCTTGGATGGCGAAGTCACACATATACTCTTGGCCAACACATACAATTTAGTGATTCATTTTGGTAGTTGATGGTCCTTTATATTTACAAGTAGAAAAAGAGATATTTCTTACTATGGGTCCAAGCCTAGAAGTCTCTGCCATGATTCTCTCTACTGAAGTCTTCCACATAGGGACTTAACTTCCCAGAGACTTCGGAGTTATAATTATTTGAGTGCTTATGGACCGTTTTGAAAATCTGATGAAACTATAGGCATTTTGCCTAGCAACATACCTGTGTACAGTTTCAAGAGGGTACATCTTTATTGACCTCTTGAAGGCCATCCTTCTAGAGTTTAATGAATGCCAGGTTAAATACCTAGGCCCTAATGTGAATCTTAGTCAAGGGAAAGTGACTTAATGGGGACCTGTGGGATAACTATAGCTGTGTTAGCTCAAATGATCTTTTGTTTTTGTTAATTCTCGCCTGAGGATATGGTTTTCATTGCTTTTCAGAGAGAGTGGAAGGGAGAGGGAGAGAGACACATCTACTGGTTGCCTTATGCACCCTGGGTTGTGGGGTAGGGAGTGAACCCCATAACCCAGGTACTTGCTCTTGACCAGGAATTGAGTCCATGACCCTTTGGTTTGCAGGCTGATGTTCTAACCACTGAGAAACACCTGCCAGGGCTGACCTTTTTTTTTTTTTTTTAATTCTGTTAAGATCTTAACACTGTACTTTTTGGACATATAACATTTCTAACATTATTTTTCCTTTAGCTAACATTTAACCTTTTTAAGAAAATCCTATTTATTCTTATGTTGAAGTCCTAGTGTTGTTTTGTATCGTATTCTTTAAAAAAGTAGCTTTTTGTATGAAATGTAGCAAACATACTGAAAAGTTAATAAAACATAAACACACACAGTTTAATAAATAATTTTAAAGTATAACTGTTAACCAGGTCATGAAGTAAAGCATTGCTAGCCCTCCAGCAAGCTACCTACCTAGCTTCCCAAGCACAACACCCTCCTACCTGATAGAAGTAGCCACTAACCTGACTAGAAAGGTAGTTATTTCCTTGCTGTTTATACTTTTACTACCCATCTATTTACCCCTAAAATTTCTTAGTTCCTGTCTGTTTTAGAAAGTTTTATGTATGAACACTTATTGTATGTATTATTTGTTTCCTTCTGTTTCTCAACATTATGCTTGTGTGTTAACCATATTATTGTTACGGTACTTCATTTATTTTCATATTGTATTAGAGGCCCGGTGCACAAAATTTGTGCCCGGCCTGCACCCTCTCCAATCTGGGACCCCTTGAGGGATGTCCAACTGCTGGTTTAGGCCCGATCCGGCAGTCGGACATCCCTCTCACAAGCCAGGACTTCTGGCTCCCAACCGCTCGCCTGCCTGCCTGCCTGATTGCCCCTACCTCCTTCTGTCTGCCAGCCTGATCACCCCCTAACCACTCCCCTGCCAGCCTGATCAACACCTAACTACCCCCCTGCCAGCCCAGTCACCCCTAACTGCCCTCCCATGCCAACCTTGTCGTCCCTAATTGCCCTCCCCTGCCAGCCTGATCGCCCCCAACTGCCCTCCCCTGCCAACCCGGTTCCCCCAACTGCCCTCCCCTGCTGGCCTGGTTGCCCCTAATTGCCATCCCCTGCCGGCCTGGTAACCCCCAACTGCCCTCCCTCCCTTGCAGGCCCGGTCATCCCCAACTGCCCTCTCCTGCCGGCCCAGTCGCCCCCAACATCCCTCACCTGCTGGTCTGGTTGCCCCTAACTGCCCTCCCCTGCCGGCCTGGTCCCCCCAAACTGCCCTCCCCTGCCAGCCATCTTGTGGTGGCCATCTTTGTGCTAGGGTGTGATGGTCAATTTGCATATTACCTCTTTATTATATAGGATTATATTCCATTTTATGACTGCACCATAATACATTTGATACAGTTTGATCAAAGTTTTCATGATATTGCCAAGGAACTTTTTATTTTCTTATCTGCATAGGACCAGTTTTCTCTCCATTAATAGGGAAGTCAAATAATAGTAAAGTCAAATATTAGCTAGTAAATTTATTACATGTAGATTATTTGAAAATTTAAATGGGGACTAAAATCAGTAATTAGGTTTTCTTATCACCTGTTGTGTCTCTTTCAAAAACTCCAGTCTATAGTATAGTATACTTTTCTACTAAATATTTTATACCTACTATATGCTGGCCATCAGAAAAGTTAATTAAAATATACAGCAACTATTTGAGTATTTTCTGTGTGCAGGAATGACTGGTCACTATGACGCGCACTGACCACCAGGGGGCAGACACTCAGTGCAGGAGCTGCCCCGGTGGTCATTGCGCTCCCACAGGAGGAGTGCCACTCAGCTAGAAGCCGGGCTCAAAGCTGGTGAGCACAGCAGTGGTGGCGGAAACCTCTCCCACCTCCACGACAGTGCTAAGGATGTCCAGCCTAAGCCATCAGTCAGACATCCCCTGAGGACTCCCGGACTGCGAGAGGGTACAGGCTGGGCTGAGGGTACCCTCTCCCCAATCCCAGCACAAGAATTTTGTGCACTGGGCCTCTGGTTGTTTAATAACATGCTCTTTAGCCTCCAAGTGTTTGAATTGTTTTGATTGTTTTTACTGTAGTTTATTTCTAATATTATGCCATTGTGATCTGGGAATATGCTTGATATGATTTTAATCTTCTTGAATTTGAAGAGACTTTTCTGAAAATGTCCCATGTGCACTTGAGAAGAACGCATATTCTGTAGCTTTGGGGTGAAATGTTCTAAAGATGTCGATTAAGTCTATCTGATTTAGTGAGTCGTTTAGGATTGCTGATTTTTAAAAAAATATATTTTATTGATATTTTTTACAGAGAGAAAGGGAGAGGGATAGAGAGTTAGAAACATTGATGAGAGAGAAACATCAATCAACTGCCTCCTGCACACTTCCTACTGGGGATGTGCCCGCAATCAAGGTACATGCCCTTGGCCAGAATTGAGCCTGGGACCCTTTGGTCCACAGGCCAACGCTTTATCCACTGAGCCAAACCGGTAGGGCTCTTTGCTGATTTTTTGTCTAGAGCAGGGGTCCTCAAACTTTTTAAACAGGGGGCCAGTTCACTGTCCCTCAGACCGTTGGAGAGCCGGACTATAGTTTAAAAAAAAAACTATGAACAAAGTCCTATGCACACTGCACATATCTTATTTTGAAGTAAAAAAACAAAATGGGAACAAATACAATATTTGTATTTGCATGTGGCCTGCGGGCCGTAGTTTGAGGACCCCTGGGATAGAGGATTTATCCAGTGATGTCAAGAGGTATTAAAATCCCCTACTATGATTGTGTTGCTGTCGGTCTCTCCCTTGATATCTTCCAGAAGTTTTTTTTATGTATTTGGGTGCTTCTGCATCGGGTGCCTATATATTTACCAGAGTTATATCCTCTTATTGTATCCATCCCTTTAGTATTATGAAATGGCCTTCCTTCTCTTGTTATGGCCTTCACTTTGAGGAAACTTACCCCAGGAAAGTTAGCATTTTTTAGTTAGGAAACTGCCAGAAACTTAAAATTAGTAAAACTAAAAATAGAATTGGTGTCTTCATATTCTCATTCTTCTGGATCAATATAGAAGATTCATGGGAAACCATAACTTTAATTTGTTATGTGTTTTGTTTTTGCCATAGGCATTGCTGGAAACCTTATTTGGTGTAAAAGTGATTATAACAGGGGATGCATTTGTTCCTGGAGAAAGAAGTGTTATTATCATGAATCATCGGACAAGAATGGACTGGATGTTCCTGTGGAATTGTTTGATGAGATACAGCTACCTCAGGTTGGAGAAGGTGTGCCTCAAAGCCAGTCTCAAAAGTGTTCCTGGATTCGGTAGGTTATTCACAAATTAAGTTGTTCATTTTATATGGGATGGATGTACCCACCTAAAAAAGAATAACTTACTGAATAAACTCCACTGATGCATTAAAGCCATTCCCATTGTTTCTTAGTGGATCAGAACAGATTACTTTATTTGAATCCTGTTTTGAAACATTTTATGTAGAAAGAGATAATAAAATTGTTTTCAAGAAAGTAGATATGGTTCCAGAGGGACCAACAGTAACTTTTTTATTTTTTAAAACCTCACTTTAGGACATATTTAATTTTGAGAGAGAGAGAGAGAGGGAGAGAGAGAGAAACATTGATTCATTGAGAGAGAGAGAGAGAGAGAGAGAGAGAGAGAAAGAGAGAGAAACATTGATTCTTTGCCTCTTGTATATGCTCAGACCAGGTATCGAACCACCAACCTTTGAGTGTCTGGAACAAGCCACACCAGCCAGAATGATAGTTCAGTAACTTTTTATTGCATGTCATGCTTGTGGTAATTTAGGCCAGAAACTGGCTTGTGCTGATGAGGTAAATGCAAATTGAATACCCATTGATTTTAAGCATTATATGAAGTACTGGTATTTTCTTTTTATATATTTATTTTTCAATTACAGTTGACATATAATATTACTAGTTTAAGGTGTACAACATAGTGATTAGACACTTATATAACTTATGAAGTGATTGCCCTGATGAGTCCAGTATCCACCTGACACCACAAGTTATTACAATACTATTGACTATATTCCCTATGCTGTACATTATAGACCTGTGCCTGAATTTGCCGGGAGCCGGTCCATGCTTGCTGTTTCAAGGGACCTGGCATATATGGCATACTGTTCTTAATATGTTTGCTCACCTTCTTGGCACTATGTGTTTTAACCAAGGTCTCTGAGAAAGGTTATTTCCCCAGGTAGGGATTTTCCCCTGAAGTTAGGGAGGGAATAAAACCTCTTAACTAAGTGCCAGGCGGGTAATTAATCACTTTAACTACGAACAATCGTGCTTAAGCTACATAATCTTTTTTTTTTTTTTTTTTTTTAGTTTTTTTTTTTTTTTATTGCTTAAAGTATTACAAAGGGTATTACATATGTGTCCATTTTATCCCCCCGCCCTAGATAGTCCCCTAGCCTCCCCTATCCCCCAATGTCTTATGTCCACTGGTTATGCTTCTATGCATGCATACAAGTCCTTTAGTTGATCTCTTACCCCCCTACCTCCTGCCCCGCAACCCTCCCCGGCCTTCCTGCTGCAGTTTGACAATCTGTTTGAGGCAGCTCTGCCTCTGTATCTATTATTGTTCAAAAGTTTATAATGGTCTCTATTATCCATGAATGAGTGAGATCATGTGGTATTTTTCCTTCATTGACTGGCTTATTTCACTTAGCATAATGCTCTCCAGTTCCATCCATGACGTTGCAAATGGTAAGAGTTCCTTCCTTTTTAGAGCAGCATAGTATTCCATCGTGTAGATGTACCACAGTTTTCTAATCCATTCATCTACTGATGGGCATTTAGGCTGTTTCCAGATCTTAGCTATGGTGAATTGTGCTGCTATGAACATAGGGGTGCATATATCCTTTCTGATTGGTGTTTCTGGTTTCTTGGGATATATTCCTAGCAGTGGGATCACAGGGTCAAATGGGAGTTCCATTTTCAGTTTTTTAAGGAAACTCCATACTGTCTTCCATAGTGGCTGCACCAGTCTGCATTCCCACCAGCAGTGCACAAGTGTTCCTTTTTCTCCACATCCTCTCCAGCACTTGTCGTTTGTTGATTTGTTGATGATAGCCAGTCTGACAGGTGTGAGATGGTATCTCATTGTTGTTTTGATTTGCATCTCTCGGATGATTAGTGACTTTGAGCATGTTTTCATATGTCTCTTGGTTAAGCTACATAATCTTTACTCCCTGGAATGAAGATAAGAAACGCCCTAACCTTTGTAATAGAGACTGATAGGATTGAATCAACTGGTATAAATACAGATGCAACAAGACAGCAAGACACAGAACTTAGAACTCAGAACTTAGAATACAGAGCTTAGAACACAGAACTTAGAATACGGAACCAAGAGAGACAGAACCTAGGCACAGAACCTACACAGAACGTTCTCTAGAGACAGAAGAACTTTGCTGGAGAGAACATGGCAAAAGATCCTGGACTGAACCTGACTACAGAAATTGGCAAGAGAACCTGACTAGAACCTGATGACTGAACCTGGCTGGAGAACCTAGCGAGGGAACATGGCTACAGAACCTGGCTGGAGAACCTAGCAAGAGAACATGGACACAGAACCTGGCTGGAGATCCTAAGCAGAACTTCGCTGGAGATCCAGACCAGAACTTGGCTGGAGATCCTGGCTAGGCTGCTGATCAACTGAACGCTGTCTCCGTGTCCTTCCTTCTTCGCCGACTCCATCCACACCTTTGGGGACCCCTGGACCTGCTGGGGTTGGACCCCGGCATGAATTTGTTTCTGTATTGTTGTTCATTTATTTTTTAGATTCCACATATTAGTGAAATCGTATGGTATTTTCTTTTTCACATAGCCTCTCTAGGTCCATCCATTTTGTCACAAATTACATTCTTTTTTTATGGTTGATTCATATTCATATATATATACCACCTCTTTATCCATTCATCTATAGATGGACACTCATGTTGTGTCCATATTTTGACTATTGTAAATAATGCTGCATATATCTTTTCAATTAGTGTTTTAAATTTCTTTGGACAAATACCTAGCAGTGGAATTGCTGGGTCATATGGTAGTCTATTTCTAACTTTTACAATAGCCAAAACATGTAAACAACTTAATTGTGAATTGATAGATGAATTGATAAGTAAAAGTGGAATATAGGATATATTTAGCCATAAAAAATATCCTCACAATATAGGATATTATTTAGCCATAAAAAATAATTAAATCCTGCCATTTGTGACAATATGGATAGACATAGAGGGCGTTAGGGAAGTTAGTCAGAGAAAAACAAATACATATGATCTTATATGTGAAGTTAAACAAAAAAACACCATAGTAAACTCATAGATGCAGAGAACATATTGGTGGTTGCCAGAGGCCAGGGGTTAAAGGGTAGGCAAAATGGGTGAAAGTGGTAAAAAAGCACAAACTTCTAATCATAATAAAGAACTGGGAATAATGTACAGCATGGTGACTATAATTGATAATGCCATACTCTATACTTGAAAATTACTGAGCTAGTGGATCTTACACATTTTCATTATAAGAAAAGAAAAAAATTTGTAACTGTGTTGTGTGATGATAGATGTTAGACATATTGTGGTGATAATTTCACTATATACCAGTGATTTTTCAGCCAGTGTGCTGCAAGAATGTTTAAAACATGCAGCACCTGATTATTTAGTCAGGGACATTGACCTCTTTTTCCTTAGATTGTCAAATAAAAAAAATGTCAACACAATAGCTGTCTGGTGTGAATGAACCAAAATTATTCCTATTTTTTGTCAAATCGGCAAAAAATATATTTTTTGGTGTGCTGCAGGATTTTAGTAATTAGTTTATGTGTGCCATGAGATGAAAAAGCTTGAAAATCACTGCTATATACACATACGGGGTGGGCAAAAGTAGGTTTTTAATATGAAACAGTTTTTCTTAATATTATTTTCCATACAACCAAACTATAAACCTACCTTTGCCCACCCGTATATGGAATTATTTTGTCATATACCTGAAATTAATACCACATCAAATTACATCTCAATTTTTAAGAAGTTGTACTGCTTTATTGGATAGTTGTGAGGATTAAATTAAACGCCAATAGAGTATTATTTGCTGCTGCCTTTTTTTTTTTCCTGTAGTTCCATCTGGAACATTCACTTCTTACCTTACAGAGATTCATATTAGACCTCTGATTTTTCCAGTGCCACACAGACCCATATTCTCTTTTCCTGATCACTTCATCTTTATTTCCACCTACTCTGCACTGCTATAGCCATTTTTATCATTGCAAACCTGTCTCTCCTCTTGCCTGTGTTCCTATGTAAGTCTGTCATTCTTAGCTTTTCCATTTCCCTATTTTCTTTTCTCACATGAGTTATAAGCTTCTTGCATATTGTATCTTACATATTGTAGGCTCTTAAATATTTGCAGACTTAATAGGATTTCATGAAAATGCAAACCATTAATGAGAACAGATTTTGGATTGGAGAGAAACAAGATTTTAGTATTTCTATAGTGACTAGAGCAAAGTAAATTAAGCAGGGCAAAGTGTAGGCAGCAAACAACAAACCCAAAACAAAACTCATTTGCAAATGAGAGTATTACAGTTGGAATTTGCAGGAGGAAATGAAAGAAAGGGAAAAGAATGAATGCATCTTAGTGGTCACAGCTATGTCTGGCTTCAGACTATGCTAGATTTAGCTTGTTGACAATTTGGCATGACTTTAGGGAGTATTTAATATTGCTTTTTATAATTATTTTTAAACAAATGTGTGCTTACCAGATGTCTGGAATATAATGACTAAAGGAAAATAATATTTTGTATCTATAGTGCCAGGTTGAAGAATGTGTGAGTTGGGAATTTGAAAGTTCTTTTCTTAAAGTTCTTTTCTTAAAGTTTAAAAGTAGTTCTTTTCTTAAAGTATAAAAGTAACAGACTTATGCAGCAAGCCAGGAAAGAAATCATTAAAAGTGTTTAGATTCTAGGTCAAGTAACAAAGAGTTTGGGTACATTAACGAAACTGTTTAGAGTTTGCTAAGATATATGCAATTAGATTTTAAGAAAAAATGTCCTATGGTTAGATATCTACTGTTTCTAATGGTGATGCACACATAGATTCTAATGTTTAACCAACTTGAAACCACTTAGCAAAATCTAATGAAATGAAAAATTAAACCCAAAGGTGGCATAAAAAGTCCATTTGTGGTGAGTTTGTACCAGGAAATGCATGTATCATTTGTGCCCACCCAGCTCATGCTTCTTGCTTTTTCTGGATCATTAATTAATCACACTAGAGTAGCAGAAGAGTTTGAGGCTTTTAGAAAGCATAAAGTGGTAAAGAGATTGTGATTTAAAAAGTGGCCACATCATGTATTAAACTAAACATCTCCCTGACAAAGTAAATTGTTGTGTAACTCAATTCTAAAACTGCAACATAATGTAATGGTGAAAGCTAGGAAAGTCATCAACTCTGAAATATATCTAGGGTGTTTGGAATGAGATCAGGGAGAAGTCAGAAGCGACAGGTCAGAAGCGACAGTCAGAAGCGCCTCTGCGAATCTCATTTTGTTAAAGGCATCCAGAGCCTGTGAGTGTGTGCATGTTCAGAAGGTCCTATTGTGTTTGCTTTAGCAGGATATTTTAAACTGGGTAGGAGGCTATTCATAAGTTCAGTCTGCTAAAATATTAAAAACTTCTTGGTCAAATTTGATTTACAGAAATAACTGAAAATTTATTTTAAATGCCTTTGGTGTTTTATAAGCACTCTCTTTTTAAAGATCATGAGTAAAAAACCAGTTGGTTCAGATCTGTTGTATACTTTGCCAGGGCACTGGAGAAACAATGATAGAGCCTCTTGCTATTAAACATGAAAATGCTGCAACACAGGGTCCATATGCTGACTGGAAAGATAATCCATTTTGTGTGGTCAAATTTGCAGTTTTAACTGTATTTCATGAATGTATTTATAAGTGTTAGTAATGTATAAATTTAAAGATGTCATTGCTTATTTAAGAAGTACTAAATTTATTGAAGCACCTTAAATTTATTATTTATCATGTATCAAGTACAAAGAATGAATGTTTCTCTATTTGAGATATTTACAGTTCATAATACCGGACTTTATCTCCCATGAGAAATAAAACTCTCCCGCTTCTACCCAGCTTCCTCCTACTTAAAATGGATATTCATTAAAACTAGAACTATCTTTAAGCTATGAAGGTCTTTGACTTCACCCAATTTGGTGGACCCTTTTTTTTTTTTAATTAAATCTTTATTGTTCAGATTATTACAGTTGTTCCTCTTTTTTCCCGCCATAGCTCCCCTCCACCCGGTTCCCACCCTACCCTCTGCCCTTACCCCCTCTACTGTCCTCATCCATAGGTGTATGATTTTTGTCCAGTCTCTTCCCGCACCCCCCGCACCCCTTTCCCTCCCAAGAATAGTCAGTACATTCCCTTTCTATGCCCCGATTCTATTATATTCACCAGTTTATTCTGTTCATCAGATTATTTATTCACTTGATTTTTAGATTCACTTGCTGATAGATGTGTATTTGTTGTTCATAATTTGTATCTTTACCTTTTTCTTCTTCTTCTTCCTCTTCTTAAAGGATACCTTTCAGCATTTCATATAATACTGATTTGGTGGTGATGAACTCCTTTAGCTTTTTCTTATCTGTGAAGCTCTTTATCTGACCTTCAATTCTGAATGATAGTTTTGCTGGATAAAGTAATCTTGGTTGTAGGTTCTTGGCATTCATCACTTTGAATATTTCTTGCCACTCCCTTCTGGCCTGCATAGTTTCTGTTGAGAAATCAGCTGACAGTCGTATGGGTACTCCCTTTTAGGTAACTGACTGTTTTTCTCTTGCTGCTTTTAAGATTCTCTCTTTGAGAAGCTGGCGCTGGAATCGGGAGCGGGAGTGGCTGCCCCCACGCGTGGGGGCAGCAAGGCGGTGGGTGTCCGACCGCAGACGACCCCAGGGATGGGCCAGCGGCTGTGAGTCTGTGGACTCCAGCCTTGGGGGCCTTTCTCGGTCCAGCACGGTGGCCAGCCTCGACAAGGACTCCCCCAAAAGCTCAGGACAAAGCAACAACAACTCAGACACCTGTGCGGAATTCCGAATAAGATACGTTGGTGCCATTGAGAAACTGAAACTCTCCAAAGGAAAAAATCTGGAAGGGCCACTGGACCTGCTAAATTATATAGATGTTCCCCAGCAAGATGGGAAGCTGCCTTTCGTTCCCCTGGAGGAAGAAGTGATTATGGGCGTTTCCAAGTACGGCATCAAAGTATCCACACCTGATCAGTATGATGTGCTGCACAGGCACGCCCTCTACCTGATCATCCGGATGGTGTGCTATGACGACGGCCTGCGGGCGGGGAAAAGCCTGCTGGCACTGAAGACCACCGATGCCAGCAACGAGGAAGTCAGCCTGTGGGTGTACCAGTGCAGCAGCCTGGAACAAGCACAGGCCATCTGCAAAGTCCTGTCCACCGCTTTTGACTCCATGCTGATGGCTGAGAAGGTGTGAGTCTGCCACAAGCAGATCCGCATCGCGGGAGGAAGGTTTGGCTTTTTTCTAAACTGGTTTTCAATCTGCAGCGCTGAACTAGCATGAAAGTATGAAGTGACCCCTTGTTCTAGATGTTCTGGGAAGAAAATGCAACGTTTAAAACATCGGCCATTTGTTTTTCTATTAAAATGTGCCTTATTAAAAAAAAAAAAAGATTCTCTCTTTGTCTTTTGCTCTTGGCATTTTAATTATGATGTGTCTTTTTTTTTTTTTTGGCATTTTCTTTCTAATTATGATGTGTCTGGGTGTGGTCCTCTTTGGATTCCTTTTGTTTGCGGTTCTCTGCGCTTCCTGGACTTGTAAGTCTATTTCTTTCACCAGGTAGGGGAAGTTTTCTGTCATTATTTCTTCAAATAGGTTTTCAATATCTTGCTCTCTCTCTTCTTCTGGCAACCCCATAATTCGGATGTTGGTTCGTTTGAAGTTGTCCCAGAGGCTCCTTACACTTTCTTCATATTTTTGGATTCTTTTTTCTTTTTGTTTTTCCGGTTGGATGTTGTTTGCTTCTTCGTATTTCAAATCTTTGACTTGATTCTTGTGATCCTCTAGTCTGCTGTTGGAACTCTGTATAATATTCTTTATTTCAGTCAGTGTATGCTTAATTTCTAGTTGGTCCTTTTTAATATCCTTGAGGGTCTCACCGGATTTCTTGAGGGTCTCACTAAGTTTATCAGCGGTTTCTAGGAAATTCTTGAAAAACCTTATAAGTGTGGTTTTGAACTCTATATCCTGTAGTTTGCTTTCCTCCATTTCTGTCATTTGTGACCTGTTTCTTTGTCTCCTTATTTTTTATGCTTCCTTGTGTTGATAGAGTGGCTTTCTGTGCTAGGTGTCCTATAGGGCCCAGTGGCTCAGCCTCCCCAGTTACCTGGGGTGGATACTCTTGGTGCACCCTTTTGTGGGCTTTGTGCACAGTCTTGTTGTAGTTAAGCCTTGATTGTTGTCGGTATCAGTGGGAGGAATTGCCCTCCAGGCCAGTTGGCTGTGAGAATCAGCTGTGTCTACAGTGGGAGAACTTCTGTGCTGGAGACACTCTTAGGGGCAAGACTTGCTTCAGTGGGGCTTTGGTGCTCACTGAGTCTGCCCCCTGAGTGTGTCCCTTATGGATCTGAGGAGTTGTAATCTGGATGGTCCCACTCTGACCACTGGGTACACTGGCTCTTGGATCTCTAAGGAGGTGCTAATTTAGCCTCTGCCTGAGGCTACCCAGCAGGAGCTATGGAGAAATCTGCAGATTCCTCTTCTTTGTTTGGTGTTTGGAGGTGCTTAGATGAGGCCCAGCTGTGAAGCAATGCAAGCTGCTGTGAGGCCTTGGGCCTTCTTTTGGAAGTTCTGGGTCTCTCTAACCCAGCTGCAGTTTGTTAGGTAATTTTCAGATTGCAAAGGGCCAGGCCTTTCATATGCAAAAGCCTCTGCGCACAGCTTGGGTGGGGCAGGGTCTTAGAGAATCAACAGGGTGGAGCAAACAGCTATGGCTGATCTTCAGTCCTAACCTAAGAGGCCCCAGGTCTCAGTGTCCCCTGGTAATCGCTGCAAGCACCTCTGAGAGAAAGCTGCCCTCGAGTTCCGACCAATGCCAAACAGTCCAGTTTCTCCCCGTATGAGTCTGGGTCCCCAGAGACTCGCCTGGAACTGGAGTTCAGAGCCGTTGGGAGCTTGAGACTCCCCCCCGATTGAAAAAGACAACTGCGCCCTCAGTTGCCAGCCCTTTTCACGTGTGCCTCCGTACCTCTGTACTTTTACTTCCTCACCTCCTCTGAGTCTCAGTGTGCTTTTCTCTTTCCTTCTAGTTGTAGAATTTCCACTCAGCCAGCCTTCCAGTGGTTCTGGATGATGTCCGTTTTGTCTTTTAGTTGTATTTTTTAAGTAGTTGTGCGAGGCAGCAATTTCTGGTGTTTACCTATGCTGCCATCTTGGTTTCTCCTTGGTGGACCCTTTTTTAAAAAAATTTTATGCTGCTCTCCTGCTTTACAACTCAGAAAAATAAGACCAATATATTTCTGATTTGGAGAAAACTCTCCACAAGACTCTGTATCAGTAACACTTCATCCTGTCAGTTTCTTTAGTGTAACCAATGTATCGGTTTTGTCACTTACATTAGGTAAATGATCCTCATCACCAACTAACAACTGCTTGGGCCTTTCTGGAAGGACTCTCTACAGCAAGCATATTTGAATGCTTAAAATGAATCTCTGATACACACATCCCAAACTGAGGATGAAATCACCCGATACTGCCTTTTCAGCCTCCTGTTGGCCAATCTCCCAAAGGGACTTAATGTGGAGAGCCTGGCAGGCGGCTCTAGGGAAGATTTTCCTCCTTACTAAGATGAAAGGTTGATTGAAGGGCTGGTGTGCTCCTTTCCTGCTTTGGTATGTTATTGTGAGAGTACATCATACTTGGAGCTGCTGCAACCGTCTTGAGCCCAAGAGGATGGCAGATTAGAAAGGGAGAGCCTGGCGTCTGAACCAGCCTTGGGGCCAGACTTAATTTTATGTGAGAAACATAAGACCAGATTGTTTGTATGACTTTCATATGGTATTCTGTTATTTATAGCCAAAAGCATTCTGTTATAACTTGCTTTCCCCATTTCACCAATCTATAAGGAAAAGTATCTCATGATTGATGTACTCATTCAGTAAATTTTATAAATGCTTATGAGTCAAGATTTTAATGAAAACTGTCAAATGAAATATAATAGACAGTATATAAACATGATTTAGTTTTATGGCTGAATATCCCATACACATCTCTGTGTATTTTCAGATATGTAACAGAGATCAGTTTCATCTTAACAAGTCTACTGCTAGGTGAAAAATAAGTTCTTAAATTTATTGATTTTGCAGTTTCAGTTGCCAGAGTTGTTTGGCTGAGATGAGTTTGATGATTTTTTTTTTCCAGAGAAGGAAACACATTGGGCACTATCGTTCAGTTCAGCTAAATCATGTGCCAGGCAGTATACCAGGATTATACTTCTTTCTAGGATTACATTGAGATCTAAGTAATTTAAATGAAGCTTCTGTTTTGAATGTGTTAGCTGCCTTCCTAACAAATCTCAAGCCCTAAGCTGTGTGGAAGTTGACAGTTTCTTCGACTGAGAGAAATGGCTCTAGATTTTAAGGTTATCCAATCAGTCACTTACTGAAGTCACTTTAGTATCTCTAAATTATAATGGCATTTTAAAAGAGAAAGCAACATTGCAAAACTGGGGAAAACTGAATTAGCTGTTGTATTTATTATATATGTCATTTTCTCTTGGTACAAGAATCTTGTATTTTCCCTGCCCCAGTCCTAGGCTCAGCATTTCTCTAAGGAAGCCTAGTTCCTTTTATTAAAAACTAGAGGCCCAGCGCACAAAATCGTGCGGGTAGGGCCCCTAGGGCCTAGCCTCCTGCAATCAGGGTCCTCTTCTGCCTGTTCGCCAGCCCGCCAGTGGGCTGTCAGGTCTTGGGATCACCAACTCATCCCCAGCTGCTCCGGGGCGCAGGCCTGTGGGAAAGCAGGCACTGGCGACTTCACCTCCATGCGCATGCGCCGGCAGGCAGCTGATGGAATGCGCTGCCTGCTTGGGGCTGCTCACATGGGCGCCACTGCCGCTGCTGTGGGGCTTGAGGCATTGATGGAAGCTGCGGGGTGCGCCTGTGACCTACCCATCCCAGTGTGAGTGGCCCCAAGTAGGCAGCGCATTTCAATCAGTGGCCTGCCGGGTGCACGCGCATGGAGGTAAAGTCGCCGGTGCCTGCTTTCCCGCAGGCCTGTGCCCCTGAGCAGCCGGGGATGAGCTGATGATCCCAACAGCCTGACAGCCAGCCTGGCCCTCCTGCCAACCACCCCGATTTCCATGTTCACCATCGCTGATCCATCGAAGCCTGCAGACCCGGGGCAGGGACCAAGAGGTCAGCCATTCAGCCCGCTCACCAGTCCTCAGTCCTGCCCCGCCCTGCTCACGGGCCGGGGAGGAGGGACCGAAAGGTGCTCGATGCACCTCATGGTGACCGGTCCTTTGGTTGTCACGGACACTGGCTTTATATATATATATATATAGATGGTATTAGGGGAACTTCCAGTCAAGATGGTGAAGTGGGTAAACACTGCTCGCCGCCTCCTTTATAAAAATTGCAACTAAATTATAAACATCCATCATAAGAACCACCTGAAGACTAACTGAACAAAAGTCCTATAACTAAGATGTAAAGAAGAATCCACATTGAGAAGGGTAGAAGAGAGGTGGAGAAGTGGAACATCAGGTCCCACACCCATGGTGTGGCAATTGAGAGTCAGGAGGGACATCTCGGCTGCGAAAGTGTCACCAGTGAATGAGAGATCCAGCCGTGGGCAAACTACGGCCCGCGGGCTGGATCCAGCCCGTTTGAAATGAATAAAACTAAAAGAAAAAAAGACTGTACCCTTTTATGTAATGATGTTTACTTTGAATTTATATTAGTTCACACAAACACTCCATCCATGCTTTTGTTCCGGGCCTCCGGTCCAGTTTAAGAACCCATTGTGGCCCTCGAGTCAAAACCTTTGCCCACCCCTAGCCCCACATGAGGTTCCCCCAGCCCAGGGTTCCAGTGTCAGGAAGAGGAATCCTTATAACATCTGCCTGTGAAAACAGCAGGGATTATATCCCAGAGAGATGGAGGGCTTTTAATGACCTAGACACTCCTCTTGGGCTGCACATGGACTCACTTGCTCTAACCCCCAATATAGGGGCAGCAACTCACAAAGCACCAGGGACATAGAGGGAGGAACTTAATAGACTAGTTTCAGGGTGAGGGCTGTAGGGGCAGCTTTCTCCAGACAGAAGTACTGGCAGTAGCCACTGCTGAACTCTCTTCCCTCCCAACCTACCAGTGACACATGGGTGCTAAATCTGAACTCTCCAATAATGAGCTATCAGAAAGAGAAATTAAGAAAATAATTTCATTTACAATTGCATCAAAAAGAATAAAACACCTAGGAATAAATTTAACCAAACAGGTAAAAGACCTGCAGTTGGAAAACTATAAGATTAAAGCAGGTACAAATAAATGGAAGGATATACTGTGCTCATGGAAAGAAATAATTAATATTGTTAATCCCTAAAGCAAGCTATAGATAGATTCAATGGCTGTTTTCACAGAAATAGAACAAATAATCCTTAAATTTAAAAC